TTCTGGCTCCCGGCACCTCTACAGGGTTCGCAAGGTAGTTGTACAAGCAATGTACATATGGATGGAGCTCCAGCACAGCACACTGGACCCCAGGCTGAGGATCCTCTCCAGTTCTTGTGAGCTTAGGAGGTAAAAAAAAGAAATTGTGAGATTGTGTCTGTGGTTGTGTGTGAGATTGTGTGCGTCCGTCTGCGTTTTTGAGGGCCCATTCACACGAGTACAGTGCGTTAATCGAACAGTCCTGTGCCATTAACGCACAGTACCACGCAATCGCCCAGACCAGAATGCGCGGTACCGCAATGCCGTGCGTTCCATTGCAGTGCAACTTGGGTCGCGACTTAATGACCAGGGACAAATGTGGGTCCTGAGGTTACATAGGTTGAGAACCACTGGTGTAGACGGCTTGTCATTTTGTAGTTGTTGGTGAACTGTCATTGTAACTTCTGATCTAAATACAAACGCCAGCAGAAAGTTTTAGGATTGGGTTGGGTTAGGTTATCGGACTCGGCACCGCAGACCAGCCTGATGAATGAGGTTTCTTCGTGCAGAATCCAGAAGATGCATACCCATTCAGCACTGTCGAAAGCCTGATTTACTCTGAATTCAGTGGATCATATAAAATTCAAATTCATGAAACTTTATTTGTAAAGAGGATTTCCAGCCAAAATGATGATCTCCCTCTGCTGTCGGTCCCTAAACACATACAAAGCAGAAAAAGACAAGTCATTACATTTTACAAATGAGAACATGAGTAGCAAGTTTTATCCACCACAAATCCAAAGAGCAACCCTTGTGGGACACCAGTCCTCCATAATGGCCTTCAAATTGCTGTCATGTTGGTATTGGTCTAGTTTGTGTCCTCCCGTTACCCTAAGGAGAACTATGGGGAAAAGCCCTGACTCCATAGTTCTCCTTTAAATAAAGCCCTCCTACTATGGTGGACCCAGTTGAAGACACTATGGCATAATCAGGTTCCTCTGAAATGGTAAACTGCACCTGTTATCTGAAACATCATTGACAGTCCACTCTTACCCCGATATGAGTGTGTATCCCTGCTATGAGGAAATGTCCTAAAACCCCTCTCCAACGTCTCTTGGGTTCGCCAACATTCATGAATTCACCAAATAGCAGTTCTAACAGCTACACTCTTGTCATAAGGAAAAACAATTCCAGAACAGGTGGTACCCATGGATGACCTTTTGCATGTTCTCCCTGTACTTGCGTGAGTCTCCTCCCACACTTCAAACATATGCTGCTAGGTTGTCTCCTGTCGGCCCCAGCCGGTGTGAATGTATTTATGTATGTGAAATAAGGACCTAAGATTGTATGCTCCTTGAGGACATAGGCATCTGTAGTATGTAAAGCGATGGTTGAATTGTCAGCACTTTATGAATTCTTATAATAATTAGATAAATATGCCAATTCATACTAAGCCACATTAGGTCGGTCATTGCAGCTTGGCTTGTTCCTGCTAATATGGAACAGACTCTGAGCCTGATTTACTATTGTTACGACAGCCTGGTTCCCTATTGAGAATGTTTGGGGCCCCGTGTTCAGTCTGGATTTGCTCACACTCTGGCCTTACCCCCCTCCCTGCACCTTCCCTATGTTTTTTCCCTTTCTATTTGCCCCCCACTATTCTGATCACACCCCACCCCATCCCCTTTTTTTTTTTTTCTTTGACCCCTATCTTGGAGCTACCCAATACTCTAGTATTGCCCTGAGTGTCGACTCCTGTCTTGGAACTACCCCATACTAGAATATTGCCCCTGGAGAGTATTGACCCCTGTCTTGGAGCTACCCCACACTGGAGTATTGCCCCTGAAGAGTTTTGACCCCTGTCTGAGCTACCCCACACTGGAGTATTGGCCCCTGTCTTGGAGCTACCCCATACTGGATTATTGGCCCCTGTCTTGGAGCTACCCCATACTGGAGTATTGGCCCCTGTCTTGAAGCTACCCCATACTAGAGTATTGCCCCTGAAGAGTATGGACCCCTGTCTTGGAGCTACCCCATACTGGAGTATTGGCCCCTGTCTTGAAGCTACCCCATACTAGAGTATTGCCCCTGAAGAGTATGGACCCCTGTCTTGGAGCTACCCCATACTGGAGTATTGGTCCCTGAAGAGTATTGGCCCCTGTCTTGGAGCTACCCATACTGGAGTATTGGCCCCTTTCTTGGAGCTACCCCACACTGGAGTATTGGCCACTGTCTTGGAGCTACCCTATACTGGAGCGAAGGTGATTTTCTAACACTGTTGGTGTTCGGGTGCACACAGCGATTGCCGGGCAGCCCAATTGATTTCAATGGGTTTTCATACGTGTTGCAATCGCTGAAAAAAAGGTACAAGTACCCTTTTTGTGCGACACATGACGCGCTGCTATTGTGCTAGTTTTACCCCCTTCCTTCCTTTACTGATTTGGAAAGCATTAGACGAGATCAATGCACACTTTATTTTGTCTCTGCAGTCCCATTAGGGCGCTTTCCCCGACCACCACAAACCGAGTCAATGCAACCAGGCACCAGAGGCTCCCAACACGTAACTTTAGGACTATGGAAACTCCATGACGCTTTCTCATACTGGTGTGTGCTGTGGAAGTCATGGTGTACATTGATGTGATGGATGCCTTTTATATGCTGTACTGGTTTGCATTTGTGTCTGATGGTAAATAAAGAATGCAAAGAACGAGAAGAATCATTCATAGTCGGGTTCTCTGCTCAGGTTTGCTGGATTGAGTTGTTGAGAATTGTTTTGCACGAAATGGTTATATTATTCACGTTCAGCCCGCAGAGCAGGGAGAGAACGTGTGCTGGAAACATCTCTGGTGACGGCTGATCATAGAAGTGAGGATGACGGCGCTCACCTCTTAATCAAGCACCAAGTATGCAGCAGTGCAATTCGGTGCGACAACAGGTCAACCTCCTAAAAGAAGTTGGCGATGTCAGCCTACGTGTCTCCATCACCACTCCACTTTAATGCCTACCTTCATCTGCTGTTTTGCAGCACTCGGAAAGCTCTCCTGCTCGGATGAAGATAAATAATTGGTATTGGATAGAAAGGTGAGAGCTGGTAAGCCTGGGCTGAGGTCGGAGCCCTGACATACCGCCAAAGACGGAGGCTATTAAAACAAATCATCAGCGCGCCAATTAAAAACATTTCCATGCGGCTCTTTAGATCTAGACTGATGGCAGCGGTTAATTTCTCAAGCTAATTACCCTGCTGCTGCTTTAATGGAGACGTGAGGTGAATGCGCGGCTGGGAACCGCAGCAGTCGAGGAGGAACGGTGAAGATGATAGAAACTGGAGGAAAATAGCATGGTTTCTGTTAGCGACTCCCCCGGGAAAATTACATCCATCAGGCTGATGTGATCAAAGCGACGTAACTTATAGCAACCCTCTTCCAGCTTGCTGCAGCAAGTCAGAGAAACTGCTTAATGTTCCTTAATTGTTAAGACACAGACAGGGGGAGGAGCAAGACTTGTAAGTGTTACTTAACTGCAACAGAGAAAAACTGGGCCTCCTGCCCTAAAAAAAGAATTGCTTTGCTGTGGCAGAGCTGTTTAAAGCTAGGTTCAGATCTGAGCAATCCCGGGATCGCGGCATTCGGGTGATAGAAGTCACCAGCACTCACTTGTAACGTGCAAGAAGCATAAGCACTTTTATCGATGCGTCCATGCGTCATAAAGCCAATGTTTCGGGGCCGCGCAGGGTCCCTTCCTCAGGGCGACATTGTCACAAGTTCTGGTGACTTCTATCCTTGACATTGTGGGTGCTGATGACTTCTATCTTCGTTTGAACTGTGGCACGGCGCCATCCGTGTCGTCATTTCAAGCAGACAGGGGGAGGGACAAGACCTTCGTTTGGACTTTGGCACTGCGCCACCTGTGTCGTCACTTCGTACACCAACAGATATTTTTTTGGTTTAAATGCTGTATGGAGCGAAGGTGATTTTCTAACACTGTTGGTGTTCGGGTGCACGCAGCGATTGCCGGGCTGCCCCATTGATTTCAATGGGTTTTCATCCGTGTTGCAATCGCTGAAAAAAAGATACAAGTACCCTTTTTTTGCGACACATGACGCGCTGCTTTTTTTTAGCCGCAAAAGAACAAGATACCTTATAGCACTCCTTACCGGAAAAAAAACCAAAATTGGAATTAAGGGGGGTGCTCGCAATATCGGCGGATGGCGCCGCCACTCGGTACACAAATAGATCGATGGACACCAACAATTAGCGAAGTCCAAAAAGGTAATTTATTGGATGGAACGTCATGCCACCAACACTTGTGTAGGTGACATGACGTTCCAATAAATTACCTTTTTGGACTTCGATATTGTTGGTGACATCTATCTATTTTTTTTTAGCCGCAGTCGTATTCCGTTGCATGGGCAGAATCGCAGCGGGAAACCTTGCGATCTGTCCAGCGCGACTGGGGTGCCATTAGAAAATAAAGGCACCGCCAGCAGTATCAGCTGTGGTGGGCGACTCTGTGACCGCACAGTTTTGTGCATGATTGCCGCATGGTAAGGAGTCGCCCAGATGTGAACCTGGCCTAAATCTCAGGACTGGAAGGAGAGAAATGCAAATCCTTTGGCCGGCCAAACAACTCATGTATATGTATTTTATATGTGAGTTTTAGCTGTGTACGTGGAGTGCATCTGAATGCCGGCACACCGCATGTAATCGTAAATGATACATGCGGTTAGGAATCAATCACAATAACTGGACGGATCGATTGTGCATCCAGGAATAGTGATCGATTCCTAACTGCATGTAATCATATCACATACGATTACATGCGGTGTGCCGGCGTTCAAATGCAGCCGCTGTCACCCGATCATTACTTTGAATGGGTGACCGCTGCCGCTTCTACACAGCAGATTATGGATTCCTGCTGCAAGTTCCTGATGCAGTTATCCCTAATCGCACCTAAAATATCAGTGTGAATGGAGCCTAAAACTTCACCAAATGAGTAATTGACTTGTACAATTTTTTTTCTAGATGAGCTGGATACAAAAGATACAGAGGATGAAGAACGCAGGACGGCCAGTGAGCATGGAGAGAGCTTGGAGGAATCCTTGCAGAGGACAGGCAATACATCTGTAGTTCGATCCAGTTCCCCCACCTTCCCGCTGTCTCCGGACTCCAGGGTCAGGTAGGATCCTCAATGTCCTAAAGATTCATAGAGGGGAATTTATCAAAACTGGAACAGACAAAAATCTGGAGCAGTTGCCCAGGGAAACCAATCGGCTTCTCTGTTTAGTTTGTTCAGTTGAGATTTGAGAATGAAAGAGAGATGCTGATTGGCTGCCATGCACAGCTGCTCCAGATTTTGTCGAGCTCTGTTCCAGTTTTGATAAATTCCCCTCATAGAGTAAACAATTCTGACAGTCGCACTAACAGGCGGAGGAAATGATGGAATGGCACTTAAACTGGCGGTTGAAACAACACTGAAAGCTTTCTGTCTTTCAAAAGAAAATTACGTTATGTAACAAAGAACTTGTGTGTACGTCTTCTAATAATTTCGGAGGATTTTGAAGAGAGCCAAGCCATGAGCATAGCGATAAATGAAGTACATTGCAATGGTACAAGGGTTGTCCTGTGGCTGTGTGTGTTTTCCTGAAGCTTAGCTTTGGACACCCTCCCTTGGGAAAGCGAGCTTACCTTTCTTACCTCCTCCTTCATTTAGATTGTACAGTAATCGTGTGGCCTGAGTTTTGGGGGTTCCAGATTTCTCTACAGGTCACGGGGTGTACTGTGCTTGCTGAAGTTCCACTTTAACCCCTCCCCCCCCCCACACATTTAATTTACAGATCTCATTCATTTGTATATATAAAAGCCTATAGATCCTTTTCAATGTTTTGCACTCTACATATGTAATGAATCTCCTATCTCCAGCGGTCTGAGAAAACATTCACAATAATAAATTGAACCTGACAGGTGAATTAAGTGCTGACGTGACGTCTCCTGCGTTCAGGTCCCAAGTCTCACAGTGGCGAAAAATGAGATCTCTTATGAAAGCACTGCATGAAATAACACCGGCTTCGGTTGAAGGGCAGCATGAGGAAAATTTAATTTGAATTTTATTAGATTGGAGATCAGAACGCGGTCTGGATGAGCAGAAGATGTTTCCTCTGCGGAGGTTGCCACCTATCAATGCCCCTTATTGCCCGTCCCCGTCGTTTGTCCCGGTGGTAGTCTAGGTTCTTGGAACAGGTTCACACTCCTATATCACATCAGCTGAGTGATGTGTAAGAACTGGTGCTGACACTGTTCTTCCTTCTGGAGGGGGGGCTACTTTTGTTCCCCATGACCCCTGTGTGTGTTGTAAAGTAGTCACTGATCCAAGCTCGCTCCCGGGATGGACTACAATCTCATGTTAAGTTCACTAATTTGTATTGAGACTGTAGTCGATCCCGGGAGCGAGCTTGGATCGGTGACTACTTTACAACACACAGAGGGACCATGGGGAACAAAAGTAGCCCCCCTCCAGAAGGAAGGAAGGACAGTGTCAGTACCAATTCAAAGATGATTGGAGGATCTACAGCCGAGTGATACACAAATAAGATACATTGTTGTTACTAGTTAAGGTACTGCAATGTTATTTTATGATTTAACTCCTAGGTTTAGTGTCACTTAAATTCCATAAACCCTTACTGCTGAGTATTGTTTGTAATTATATGTTCTATGACCAAAAGTATGTTTACACCCCCCAAATTATTGGGTTCAGGTGTTCCCAATGAAAGCTACTGATAATACTACAGCATACAACGGCATTTCCGACTATTGTGCGCTTCCAGCCTCACAGTAACAGTTGGGGAAAGTCTTTTCTTATTCATACAAGTTGAAGTAATTCAGGTACGAATTCAGGTTATGCGACTGTTTTCAGGAGATTGTCACAGGGACCCCACTTCACTCCTGACCGAGGAGCCCCAAAGTTAATGAGAGAGTTCTGCAATAACCTTGGACGGCGTCGCTCAATCAATCGAAATAAGATAAAGAGGTCACCAGCACGCCAAAAGATCCTTAAGTATTGCTCCTTTATTTCACGTAAAGGGTCATATCACCATGTGTAGCAACATTTTGGAACCCGCATGGTTCCTTCATCACGCAAACAGAGTTCCTTCAGGAGATTGGACACTGGCCAACAAAACTTCAAGACAACCTAGTATACCGGGTTCCACTCTTTTGGTGTTCCACCATGACTGTCCCCCTGTGTACAAGGCCAGCTCCATAAAGACATGGTTTGACAAGTCTGGAGTGGAGGAACTACACAGAGCCTTGATCTCAACCCTACTGAACACCTTTGGGATGAATTGGATTGCTTTGAGACAGGTCTCCTCATCCAACATCAGTACCTGACTTCACAAATGGGCACATATTCCCACAGACACCCTTCAAAATCTTGTGGAAAGTCTTCCCAGAAGAGTGGAGGATGTTCTATCCGCATAGGAGGGACAGCTCCATATTAATGGCCTTAATTCTGGAATGGGATGTCCAACCAGCTCATATAAACTCTTATGAATTCCTATTGTGATTCTGTATTTTGAGGAATAAAAGAAAAGTTTTAATCTTCTCTGATCTCCTAAGACTACAATGAGCTGCACGGTTGGTTTCAGTCGGGTTCAGGTGATTCTAACGGTTGACAGGGCTAGGAGGACACATCCCAGGAGGACAGATCAAAAGTCTAAAGAGGAGAGAGAAAGGGTTTTTCTGGATGTGAGAAAGTTGCAGGTTTATCATGTAGGGGGAAAAAAAATAGGAGTTCAGTAAATGAGACCAGATGCCTACTGCCGCTATAGTTCAGTGGTAAAACAATTTCTGATGTGAACCTTCCGCGTCCCTTGGTAACTTTTCCCTCTTCCTGTGGAACCACAAATTTGGCTGTTTTGTAGTTCTCGATTTTTGTCAACAACTGGCATTTGGGAAGCAGATGGTCCTCTGAGGAGAAGCACATTATCTCCGCGTCAAGCTGGACGCTGTTCAAAACTCCTTTTCAGATATGTGATATTTGACGGATGTCATTCTGATATACATCCTCTTTCATTACCGCTAATTTCATGTCGCTCTCCAAAAAAAAAAGAGCGAAAGGCATTCTTCCCTCGTGTTCTGGCAGAGAGGACGGGGATGGAGAAAGAGGCTTCCTGTCTCCTTATCATACAAAACGCAAAAGATTGTCACACAAGCAGCAATTCACAGATGCAGGACACATTTAGGAGCTCAGTATGGTTACTCCAGTGTGCAGGAGATTTACACATTCTCACCCACAAATATAACATTGTATACAATAAAGATAAGCGACGTGTGGAAGTGGGAGAACCTATACTGATCCGTCCCCATTAGAGAGATACCCTTCCCTTCGTGCCCTGTGTGTCATGAATGAAGACCTTTCTTTCCTGCCCTGTGTGTCATGCATGAAGACCTTCCCCTCCTGCTCTGTGTGTCATGAATGAAAAACCTTCCCTTCCTGCCCTGTGTGTCATGAATGAAAAACCTTCCCTTCCTGCCCTGTGTGTCATGAATGAAAAACCTTCCCTTCCTGCCCTGTGTGTCATGATTAAAGACCTTCCCTCCTGCCCTGTGTGTCATGAATGAAGACCTTTCCCTCCTGCCCTGTGTGTCATGAATGAAGACCTTGCCCTCCTGCCCTGTGTGTCATGAATGAAGACCTTCCCCTCCTGCTCGTTTTGTCTAGGGAGAAAACATAATGTTATACTCACCGCAATCCCGGCTTGCTCTTACACAGCTCCCTCCAGCCTGTCTTCTCCTCCTCCAACAATGGTTTGTTCCGCGGCGTCCTAACATCCACTACACTGTGTTGGATGTAATGACTCACAGGACCTTAGACTGCTGGAGCGGAGGGGAGTAAGGCTGAAGGGACTGGTCTATTAGTAAGCTGGGATTGTGGTCTGGGTGAGTATAACTTAGTTAATTTAGCTCCCTAGACAAAATGAGCACTTAACCCTTGCAGTGCGGGGGCAGCAGGCTGATGAGCTAATCACTTTGCTCTCTCCTGCAATCAGCATTTCATTATATGAGATCTGCAACTCAACTGATTGGCTCCTTGTGCTGCTCCCCCTGCCAGTCTGATCTCTGCTGTACAAAGACTGCAAGTGACTGATACCAAGTCACATCTTACACTCCTAGGCTTAAACTAGTTCAATTATGTATTAATGAATGCAGAGCTGCATTACTGTGCGTCTTTTATAGTATCGGCCCGGAGTTCAGCTTTAAGTGGACAATGTCGGCCATCTCGGAGCAAACCACCGCTCAGAGAGGTCACATGATGGCGTCTTCTGTTTGAACTTTTCAGACACACTTGACACACGTTATGTTCTCATATCCGATGGTCCCGGTTCAGGTCTGCTGCATCTTCACCGAGCTCACGTGCGAACCATGCGTGATCCATCACGGGCCAACATCTGCAGCATGCAACAGCGCAACACATGTGTGCCATACGTCCAAACATTCCCGCAGCACATGGACCCCCTTGCAGCCATCCATCACTGCACACAACTCGACACGGATTACCCCGTGACACTGTAAACAGAATATATTATTATTGTGGATTAGAGGAGCGTGCAAATCCTGGAGTTAATGGGCAGCCCTGAGATGAATCGCTTCCCTGCCAACGGCGGCCTGGATGTGGCTGCGCAGGCTAAGCCGTGACTCATCACTTTGCCGAAAACTGTTTGCTTTCCCCCCCCAAAGATTCCTTGAGAGAGAAGAACATGCACATAGTGTTGTGTGACCGTCAAAATCGTGTGAGCGAAGCATTCAAGCCCAAAAACAAAAAGTGGAAGCCAAAGCCCTGCTCTGGCTTACATCACCCGCCCCCCTGTGCCAATCCCTGCACTGGCTTCCATCCTCTACCCCCCTCTGCCAATCCCTGCACTGGCTTCCAATAGCCCAAAGGATAACATTCAAAATATTAACAACCATTTACAAAGCCATCCACAACTC